GCGGCCAAATGAAAATGGCGGCATCTATGGAACTGGTGTCATTGTTCAAAAGTAAGTAAATCGTATATAATAATAACACTGTTTAACAAATCAACTTACAACTAAAAAAACTATATAACATTAAAATAGTGTAAAATATTATAACTATAAAGAGTATTGTAAAATGTTATAAAATACTAATAAGTGTCTGTTATTACTAATGCGATCTGTGAGGTAAACTTTGTGACAATAAAGCTTTAAATCCATATGGTAAAGTCAGATTTTTCTTTTTTGTACACAATTGTTGATATTTCATCTATCAAATCCTAGTTTTTCAAAGTCCTAAGTTGGCTGATTGTGTATTAAATCGGTGATTATCTACTTCGGAAGAACCGCCTCCCATAAGGCGATATGCTTAAAATAGTCAATTTTAGAATAATATTACAAGAAAACTATATGGTCAATATTGTTCAAATTGTAGGATTGTGGATTTGTATACAGTACTTATTTACATCATATACAAAAATTAAATCTCTAAGTTGGTTTTCGCCTAACAGTTTAACCTCCTTAATGATATTTACTCAAAATCAATTACGGTTCTGATTTAATTTTAAAGGATTGTCTCAATCTCTAAATAAGAATCATTTATAATAAATATAGATACGTCTTTTATTGAGTTACTCCAACTAAATGTATCCAAAGTCAATTAAAATTGTATATATTTTTATACTAGACTACTATTATACAGCCAATGCGTAAAATATATTACATTATATTTCATTTATGTAGATATAAGGCAGGTTCCGTCATCGATGTGACCGTTCACCTCACTGCCACTCACTTGGGTTACTTTGAATTCAGCCTTTGTCCGCTGAAGACGAATAAAGAATTAGAAACCGAGACGTGCTTCAATACGTATCCCTTGCCAATGGCTGACGGGAAAGGCTATAAATATCCCATTACCGCCCAAGTCCCAAAGGATTACACTATCAAGCTGGTCCTACCAAAGAATGTTACGTGTAAACAATGTGTGATTAGGTTGGTACTGAAGACACTTTCATTTTGTTCAATTTTAATATTATTAATTCGGAATTTTAAATGAATTATTAAAGCTCAATTATTTTGTTATTAACGCCTATTTACTTAATTATTGTAAATGAAATTTAGTGAAAACTATATGAATATTAAAAATTAAAAAAGTTTTTATGTTTGATAAAATATATCCGAATAGTACACAATATTTACAAAATATTTATAAGATTTATTTAAATATTTATACAATATTTTGTAAATACTTTTGTGGTCTTAAATTGTACAGGTCATAAAAATTTATCATAAATATTATGAAGTATTTATCGAAAATATTGTGATAAATATTATGAAAATATTTAATGAACATTATATATAATTCCGGTAAAAAATAATTAATTCAATTTTACTGCTAAAATAAGTATCATATTCCAGAATAATACACGATGAAATTATGATAAAAAAACTTATCTGCCTGAATGCGAGCATGAATTTCAATTACAACATTCCAATTCTAAGTTGTACCACATTCAATACTACTTGATCTCTGCAATCTATAGTTTTGACAAATATGAATAATATAAATGTTAACAAAGCATGGAACATGTATAGTTAAAATATGTTGACATTATTTTTCTTGGATAATTAAGAAAATATCTAGCGACAAAAGGAAACAAATCTCCCGTTCTCTTGAACACTTTTTATTCTAACTTTGTAGAAAGAATATAATATGCACAAAAAGCCCCTTCTATACACGGTGTTAGAAGTATAAGTGGTCGGACTCACCTTCAGCATTACAAAACTACGCATTCGAGGAGGGCACTATCAACGCTATTTGTGTCATCTATCCTTTTCTCACGTCTTTTCTCACCTTTTCATTAGGTACTTTAAAGTCACTAGATTACAAAGTACCGCGAACTGCCGCCATTTTGGCTCCATGATGCGATTATTTCAAACTTATGTATGAATGTAATCAGGTCGATTATTGTGTATCTTGATATGGGCCAGTTTCACCAAGCCGATTAAGTGTTTAATAGAATTGACCAATTGCGGTTGACAGTTAGTCATAGATTAAGCTTAATCGATGATTACCTGTCACCCGCAATTGATCAATTCTATTAAACAGCAAACGCGATTGGTCAGTCAACGGCCGATTAAGTTAACTGGCGTTGCTGAAATTGACCCTATGAAGTGGAAATTACAAAAACAAACAAATTCATTATAATATTCATAATTGGTCAATATGTAGTGAATTTGCTCACTTTTGTAATTTTCACCTCATTTCAAGATGGGTGGGACCCATTTGACCATGTTGCGATTGTCCACTAGCCACTCACAGCGCTTGTACAACAGAAAAACTCTAGACACCGGCCGCTATGAATGGCTGATGGTCAATCGTAACGTGGTTAAACGGGTCCCATCCTTTCAAGATATACAATCGACTCCCTGGTTAGGATTGCATTTTGGATTGTACTTAATATATAGATACATTACACTAAATGTAATATCTGCACTCAATGTCATTTTGGCTCCAAATGCTAATTCAGTGAATTTTCCCATCGCGGTATTTTGTTATCTAGCGACTTTACGGTACTTGAAACTATGACGCTACCTAGTAACGAAAGCGCTAACTGACCCAAAATAATCACAGGGCTGCATATGAAAGAGGTATTCAGTTGGACCACCTGTACTTCTAACACCGTGCTTCTGTACAATGCCATCGACGAGATAATGGCTGCGTTCCGTTTCACTCATGATACGCATAATGCATCTTTTATCCTTGTTATTCACCGAATGTTAGACAAGGATAAATGATGCATTATGGACAGCATGAAACGAAACGCAGCCACTATTAAAGACCGACATCCTTACAGGAGTTCGCGTCAAACAAAAATTTACTGAAAAAGAGTTGACTTTAAATTAATTGAAGAATAATATCACAGTTTACTAACAATTTGTTTTACATCAAGGACTACCGCAGTCTATGTAATTTGATAATGGGACTACTTTTGATGGTATAGATCGAGAAGATATCCGAAGCACATTCATTTAAAACGATGTATCTCCATATTCTTAGATGCGAAAAAATGACCGCACTACAAATTAAAATTCGCTGGAAAAAATCGATTTTAGTTCAATTAAATAATATAATGTAAAATAATATAATATATAAAAATAAAGTTTGACTCTTTTTTTATTAGGTGGCATTATCGTACTGGGAATAGCTGGGGAACTTGTCAGGATGGAACACAAGCCATGGGTTGTGGCCCCCAAGAAACATTTAGAAGCTGTGCTGATGTCACCATCACGAATTAATTTATTACGTACTTCAGATCAACTTAGCTTTATACTATATCAAAAACATTTGGTTTATGCTTATAAAATTTTTTTAGGAAGGTATCAAAATTTTCAATTAAAGAAATTTTTGATCTAACGGATTCTAATTAAATAAATAAGGAAACTGGATAGCAAAAAATAACTTTAAATACGAAGAGAGAACTTTTATTATCCTTCACTCCTACAACTCAAATTTCAAAAAAATTGATAGGAGATATACAAGAGTCCGACTTACTACTCAGAAGTTCAAAAAGAAGTTGAATTTAATTGCACATTCAGAATATAATTTGATACGCATTATTGCGTCCTACCGTCTGTATAAGCAGAATTTTCTTTCTTTTTCCTTTTTTCTTTTATCATTCTGCGCTATATTTGCGGTTAATATTGACAACAGCTTCGATGATCTTGACTTTGACATATGTTGTCAAGGGCGACCGCCAAGTAAAATCTGTTGAAGGTCACTCAAAGTCATGACCTTGACAACATATGTCAAGATCAAGATCATCGAAGTTGCTTCCGTTGTTATCAATATTTACCGCGCGCTTCTCGAATGCAGCCTCGATCACTCCGTGCGTTGACTAGTAGGAGCCAGGCTAAGAACGCTTATTATTTCGTAATTCTATGTCATATTTTTTATATTTTTATTCAGTTCATTATTTTTGTCGTTGTAATTACTTTATACAAGTCTAAAATAAGTATAAGTAAATGTGAGCTTGTCGTGTTTCTCGCGAAGCGTCTGACATGCGCCGACCAATCAGGATCCTGGGAAAGAGCAGCTTGGATCAGAAAGAAAGACCTGAGAAATAAACCAATTGATAACTCTGAAACCTTATTAAATAATAAGAAATTGGTCTGATCTTTTGAATCTGCATAAATTTAGTTGCTTTTGTGCCAAATTCCAGTTTGGAATAACCGATATTTCTATAGGAAATTCAATTCCCAAATTTGACAATGTGTTGCCGATTCTTGAAAAATCGAGTCCCCTTTTTCCCGACTCGCGAGCGCTACCAACTTGACCCTATATAAGTGCAGCATTTGACGAAAATCGTCAAATAAATCATTACGATTCATTCTTTCAAAAGGGCTAACTGCGATCGAAGGAACTGTTAAGTCCTTCCTCTCCCATTTCCCCTTCAATGGGGTTGACCGCGCTCAAAGTAGTTGCTCAGTCCTTTCCTCCTCTAGGAGGAATCTCAATTTAAAGATTTCACGTATTTTTTGAAAAAAAATTATTATATATTTTCATAGTTTAGGAAAATAGATTTGGAATAGGTTTGGAATAGGAAGTCATTCTTTTCTTCAAGGAGCGCACATAGAAGCGCTTATAATAATTTATGTAATGATTTTTTCTGAGAGGAGCACACATACTTGGCGCCTTTTTTTTTTTTTAAAAAGGTAAATTTGTTATGATATGTCGGCATGGATCGCAAACGAAACGACAAAGAGCGGCAGTCAATCAGTCATCGTACACGCGTGCTTTCAGCAGTGTCTCCGGCAGTGTTTCGAGAATTACAAACTTTGCAAATTCCTTCCCTCTTCTCTCTCTCTCTCTCTCTCTCCCTCTCTCTCAGTCCCTCTCCCCTTGCCCCGTTCATATACATACGTATGTACATACGAAGTAGATTGTTCTCTCTTTCTTTCTTTCTCTCCTCGCTATTCAGGACTCTGAAACTCGTTTCAGTCAGTCACGGACTGTCCGTTGTTCCCTCGTTGTTGGTTCACGCGTTGTTGATCGCGAGCAGCAACTCACTGAGGATAAAAACGTGGATTTATATTTTTTTTCTTGATCCGTATTTTTTTCTTGGTCGTTTGATCTTTTTGTTGAAGAATTAGTGAGTGCGCATAAAACGAACGAGTGTTTATGGGTATATATCTGTATGGAAGAATGCGGTAGGATGCGTATCCAGAAAAGATGTTTCTTGCTGGGTCTCTGCCTCTTAGGCAGAGTCACCTTTTCCTTATCAGCCGTTATAATACTGAAATTACCACGTTGCCCGGTAAGCTTCTCTCAAGGAATAAATTCATTCTGATTGAAGAAAGTATCTTGAATTGTATATTAATAAAATAGCGATAGAAAAAAATTATATAAGAAAGTATTTTTAAAAATCACTATATTTCATAAACAAAAAGTTGCTCATAAGTAGGCACGTTAATTATAATATTGAAATTGTTAATATATAGCAATACCAGTAAAAAACGTGTCATATCTTCGTATAAAAGTCTTAAAAAATAAGACCTTGTTCTCTTATGATTATTATATCTACATAACTCATAAGAAAACTTATAAAATAATTCTCTCTTTTAAAAATTATTTAAATTCCTGAATCTAAAATCTTCTAATAGTTCCTATGTCTAAAAAATTATATTTCTTTAAAAAGATATTCTTTTATGTTTTTTGTATCCCTCAAATATATATACCTGAATTACATGTAAATAAAAATATAAATACTGATGAATGAAAAAAAGAGAAGTTCATAAATTTCCTTGGACTTTACTTCTTAATTTTAAATAAGACATTCATCGGGATATGCATTTTATTTTATTTGAGTAACAAGACGCATTCATTAAAGCAGTAAATGAAACGCGTAAATTTGCATGAAGCAGCCGGAGACCTTAATGACTGCGTAGAAAAGGCGCCCGGTTTTCTCAGATTCTCTTGCAATATTCGCGTCATATCGGACTAATTAAAGAAAATCAGTTCTGGTATTGTGTTTTTTTGTATAATTCGCAATAGTATATTTCATTTATTATATATATTTAGAGATATTTATTTGTATTTATATCCAGTTACTCAGTAACAATTGTTTGATTTTGACACTACGCTAAATTTTGGGTGTGGATGCTTCATGATACCACTATAAAGCTGGCCCTGATAGTCACTACTAAATCATACTTTCAAAGAAACTACAGAGAGGCTGTGAAAATATAAAAACATCCCAATAATCTAAACAGAGAAAATGGCTACAGCATAAGTAGAATGTGGAAGACCAATCACTCCGATCAAGATTGACTTCTTGCTTCTCCTATTCTCTTTCCTCCCCTACTTTCCTTCTTCCCTCTACTTTTAAACAACGTTATAAAGGGATATATAAAGGAGGAATAGGCTACTCCTTGCTTTGATGAAATAAACTGCCGTTCACGAAATGTTGGCATTCCATGAAGGGATACAGACACGAAGATAACTTAAGAAATACATAACTTCTATTAAGTAAAATCTTGAAAATTATTTCCAAAATCCTCAAAAGTCTTTGTCGAGAGTTTAAACAATCTGATCAATTGTCTCTAGGAGAATATATCGCATCACATAACGAAACTGCCACAAACATTTCTTCGACGTTGTTTCCGAAAGCATCAGTATGTATCCATGAAAATCGCACTTACTCAGTAGGTGAAAACATTGTCCGCGACTGCGAAGAGAAGTGCATATGCTCTGAGAGTGGAATTACGAATTGTCAGCCGTTGTGTATTTATCCTTACGTTAAAGTGGGCAGAGAACTTAAGGATCATTTGTGTCAAGAAAAATTAGTTGCTGAAGAACCGTGCGCCCTTATTTTCTGTCCTGCAGGTTCAGGTATGTCTTTTACTTGACTTTATTTTCTTATTGCTCCAGAAATGCCATTAATTTATTTATACACACTTATTAACATTTTAATTTGCATATTATCTACTATGTAGATAGAACGAAAAAATTATACATGCTTCACAGTTTGTAATTATTGTACGTACAATTATATATAAGCAATATCACAAATGGCATAAACTAATTATACAGGATGTCTCAGTAACTCTGTTACAAGGCAATATCTCCGTTACCGTTAATGATACACAGAAATGCCTAAGGAATAAATTAAGAAATTTAGTTCAAAAGGACATATACTATGATGAGAATCATTTCTTTCTCAATGTCGTATTTTTAGAGATTTCAGGGTCATCAATTTTTTTTTAATAGGAACATATTTCTATCATTATTATAGCGTAATAGCTGAAGGTTGAGACAAATGACCTATAATACAATGACCTTTATGTAACTTAAATAATATTTAAATTCATTATGTCGACATAATAAATTTAAATACAGTTTAAGTATCAATTAAACGTGTATTTAAATATCATTCATAAAACTCTTAATGAATTTTAAGTATTTCAGAAATGATATTTAAATATACATAATAATTTTTCTTATGTAACAATTTGATTTATAACGTTACTGGTACCAAATATAAATTTGAATTTCGATGACGTCAAAGTTAAATAATAAGCTCAAGGTAGTTACTTGCAGCTGTACTAACACAATAAATCACTTATTGTCATATAATGTTTATAGGGAAATTTGCATTAGTATATAAAGTAGATTAAGACGAATTTGCATTATAGTTGCGTCGAAATCTGCTATTGAAGATACCAAAAAATGGCATTCATGAAATTATTCGTTTTGACGTTAGTAACTGTTATTAATCTACAAGAAATTTATGGACATGGACTGATGAACGATCCTGTAAATAGAAGCAGTGCGTGGAGAAAAAATTTACTCGTAGAACCTAACTACACTGACTATGAGCTATTTTGCGGTGGATACAGTGTATGTATACATGATTACAAAATTGGTGGTAAAACTTTGCGAAAGATATTAACTTCAAAAAATATTTTTTAAATCAAGTTATTAAGATATCGAAGATAATAATTGGCCACTTTAAATTAATTTAAGCTATGTTTAAAAGAACATGTTTTTTTGAAAACTTTATGATACTATAATATAGGGGGAGTCTGAGAGAAAGAGAGAGAGAGAGAGAGAGAGAGAGAGACTTGATATAGGAGAGTTGAACTACTTCAAATTTCTCGTTCAAATTTTCCGTGCCAGGTGCACGGTTATCAAGCTGGAAACTATTTGTTATGTTTCGAGAGAAGTGAAATCAAGATGGCATGATCCATAGGTCGCGGTTTGATAGCTGCTTGGCCTGAAATTTGAATGAGATATTTGAAGTGTTTTAACTGGTCAAGTCTCCCGGACTCCCCTTAGGTACATATTCCGTATGACAAGGAATCATTGATAACTATTCAAATTTCTTATAAAATTTCTATAGTTACTTGAACAGTAATTGTTGACGACGTGCCTGGTGGAAAAATGTGACTGAAATTTTGTGGAAATTTCGTTGAAATTATCCTTTATTTTGGGATACCTTCAATGAAACTATTTAATGAAATTTCAACGAATTTCGTTCAAATTTTAGAAAAATCAAATTAAAAATTTGGGTAATGTCTTTTTAGATAAGCTCTTGAATTGGTTGTGTTTCCAGAGGTTTTAATTTCTTCGACCATATACTAGAGTAGTGTTGGAATTTATTCACGCGCAATTTAAATGCCGATCGGCATTTAGACTGCACGGACTGGTGATGTAAGGGACGGGAACCAAGCTGAAAATCGCCTGAAAGTTGCAAATAAATTCCAGCACTGTACCATGATATAAAGACAAGGGTACTAATCCGGTTATAGATCACTGCGCAGTCAAAGTCTGACGTCACACAAAAATAAAAAAAAGATGTATATCAAATTGAAAAAATAGATATAATTTTTTATTAGGTTCAGTACGGGAAAAATCGTGGAAAGTGCGGAGAATGCGGTGACGATTATGCCTTACCTCGACCGCGGCCAAATGAAAATGGCGGTATCTATGGATCTGGTATCATTGTTCAAAAGTAAGTAAATCATATATAATAATAACACTGTTTAACAAATACAACTAAAAAAACTATAAAATATTAAAATACTGTAAAATATTATATAAGAGTATAAAATACTCTCTAAATTTTTATTGAAATATAATTACGTGCCTTGCAATTCTCGTAATAAACCTCCTTAATGATACTTACTCAAAATCAATTATGGTTCTGATTTAATTTTAAAGGATTATCTCAATCTCTAAATAAGAATCATTTATAATAAATATAGATACGTCTTTTATTGAGTTACTCCAACTAAATGTATCCAAAGTCAATTAAAATTGTATATATTTTTATACTAGACTACTATTATACTGCCAATGCGCAAAATATATTACATTATATTTTATTTATGTAGATATAAGGCTGGTTCCATCATCAATGCGACCGTTTATCTCACTGAGACCCACTTGGGTTACTTTGAATTCAGCCTTTGTCCGCTAAAGAATAAAAAATTAGAAACCGAGAAGTGTTTCAATACGTATCCCTTGCCAATGGCTGACGGTAAAGGCTATAAATATCCCATTACCTCCAATTATCCAGAGGATTACACTATCAGCCTGGTCCTACCAAAGAATGTTACGTGTAAACAATGTGTGATTAGGTTGGTACTGAAGACACTTTCATTTTGTTCAATTTTAATATTATTAATTCGGAATTTTAAGTGAATTATTAACGCTCAATTATTTTGTTATTAACGCCTATTTACTTAATTATTATAATTGAAATTTAGTGAAAACTATATGAATATTAAAAATTAAAAAGGTTCTTGTGTTTGATGAAACATATCCGGACGGCACAAAATATTTATAAAATATTTACAAAATATTTATAAGATTTATTTAAATATTTATACAATATTTTGTAAATATTTTTGTGGTCTTAAATTGTACAGGTCATAAAAATTTATCATAAATATTATGAAGTATTTATCGAAAATATTGTGATAAATATTATGAAAATATTTAATGAACATTACATATAATTCCGGTAAAAAAATTAATTCAATTTTATTGCTAATATAAGTATTATTGATTAGCATCATATTCCAGAATAATACACGATGAAATTATGATAAAAAAACTTGTCTGCCTGAATTCGAGTATGAATTTCAATAACAACTATCCAATTCTATGTTGTACCACATTCAGTACTACTTGATCTCTGCAATCGTACGGAAATGTCTACTTCAGCTATCCACAAACACTGAATGTTAATGGATATATAGATTTGACAAATATGAACAATATAAATGTTATCAAAGCATGGAACATGTACAGTTAAAATATGTTGACATTATCTTTCTTGGATAACTAAGAGAATATCTAGCGACAAAAGGAAACAAATCTACCGTTCTCTTGAACACTTTTTATTCTAACTTTGTAGAAAAAATAGAATATGCACAAGAAGTCCCTTCTGTGCACGGTGTTAAAAGTATAGGTGGTCCGACTCATCTTCTCGAGCTGTGATTATTTTGGGATAATTTGACTTTTTGAAGACTGCCACTGGAGGGTATGTGAGAGTCAAGTACTATTCATCGTCTCACTCGCTCTCGTTGCGCAGTTATAGCTGCGTTGCACTTAACGCTCGCAGCGTACACAAGAATCGTTTGTCTTTATTTAATATTTAATAAACAACAAGGATGAAATGATTTCTCAAGCATTGTGAACGTTGAATGGAAAGTAGCCTATGGCTTATGTTTTCAACACCGCAGCAATATTTATTTATTCATATTTTTCCATTCTTATCCTTTATTATTGATGTATCTTTAATGTCATTCTTCTCGAAACGCTGTTCGCATATAAAATGCTTATGCTTTTTCTGTAAATCGATCCCGGTAATTGCTAACACCTTACACCACATGCCGAATCATACAAAATCTTTCAGCATTACAAGGCTGCGCATTCGAGGAGCGCGCTATCAGCGCTATTTGTATCATCTATCCTTTTCTCACGTCTTTTCTCACATTTTCATTCGGTACTTTAAAATCACTAGATTACAAAGTACCGCGAACTGCCGCCATTGTGGCTCCATGACGCGATTATTTCAAACTTATGTATGAATGTAATCAGTCGATTATTATGTATCTTGATATGGGCCAGTTTCACCAAGCCTATTAAGTTTAATCGATGATTAACTGTCAACCGCAATTGGTCAATTCTATTAAAGAGTAAACGTGATTGGTCAGTCAACGGCCGATTAAGTTAACTGGCGTTGCTGAAACTGGCCCTACGAGGTGGAAATTACAAGAATGAACAAATTCACTATAATATTCATATTATATAATAATTTAATTAGTCAATATGTAGTGAATTTGCTCACTTTTGTAATTTTCACCTCATTTCAAGATGAGTGGGACCCATTTGACCATGTTGCGATTGTCCACCAGCCACTCACAGCGCTTGTACAACAGAAAAACTCTAGACACCGGCCGCTATGAATGGCTGGTGGTCAATCGTAACGTGGTTAAACGGGTCCCACCCTTTCAAGATACACAATCGACTCCCTGGTTAGGATTGTATTTTGGATTGCACTTAATATATAGATACATTACACTAAATGCAATATCTGCACTCAATGTCATTTTGGCTCCAAATGCTAATTCAGTGAATTTTCCCATCGCGGTATTTTGTTATCTAGTGACTTTACGGTACTTGAAACTATGACGCTACCTAGTAACGAAAGCGCTAACTGACCCAAAATAATCACAGGCCTGCATATGAAAGAGGTATTCAGTTGGACCACCTGTACTTCTAACACCGTGCTTCTGTACAATGCCATCGACGAGATAATGGCTGCGTTCCGTTTCACTCATGATACGCATAATGCATCTTTTATCCTTGTTATTCACCGAATGTTAGACAAGGATAAATGATGCATTATGGACAGCATGAAACGAAACGCAGCCACTATTAAAGACCGACATCCTTACAGGAGTTAGCGTCAAACAAAAATTTACTGAAAAAGAGTTGACTTTAAATTAATTGAAGAATAATATCACAGTTTACTAACAATTTGTTTTACATCAAGGACTACCGCAGTCTATGTAATTTGATAATGGGACTACCTTTGATGGTATAGATCGAGAGATATCCGAAGTACATTCATTTAAAACGATATATCTCCACATTTTTAGATGCGAAAAGATGACCGCGCTACAAATTAAAATTCGCCGGAAAAAATCGATTTTAGTTCAATTAAATAATATAATGTAAAATAATGTAATATATAAATATAAAGATTTATTCTTTTTTTATTAGGTGGAATTATCGTACTGGGGATAACTGGGGAACTTGTGAGGATGGAACACAGGCCGTAGGTTGTGGCCCCCAAGAAACGTTTAGAAACTGTGCTGATGTCACCATCACGAATTAATTTATCACGTACTTCAAATCGGCTTAGCTTTATACTATATCAAAAGCATTTGGCTTATGCTTATAAAATTTTTTTAAGAAGGTATCAAAATTTTCAATTAAAGAAATTTTTGATTCTAATTAAATAAATAAGGAAACTGGATAGCAAAAAATAACTTTAAATACAAAGAGAGAACTTTTATTGTCCTTCACTCATACAACTAAAATTTCAGAAAATTGATAGGAGATATACAAGAGTCCAACTTACTACTCAGAAGTTCAAAAAGAAGTTAAATTTAATTTGCGCATTCAAAATCTAGTCTGAACGTACTATTACGTTCTGCCGTCTGTATAAATAGAATTTTCTTTCTTTTTCCTTTTTTCTTCTCTTATTTGCGCTATATTTGCGGTTAATATTGACAACAATGAAAGCAGCTTCGATGATCTTGACTTTGACATATGTTGTCAAGGTCATGACCCTGAGTGACCTCCGACAGATTTTACTTGGCGGTTGCTTTTCGTTAAAAAATTATTAACAAAAAAGTTTAAAAAATAACGTTTTATTTCTGCTATACATACATATACAGTACTGAATATTTATTTTTCCCTGTTTCCACGCGAAGCGACTCTCCCCCCCCCCCTAAAAGGGACGCACATCTTCCATAATTGTACTGTTGCACATGAGTTGCGACTTTTTTTTTGCAGCGCGATCTGTACTACGATAGTGTTTCGATCGATTTAAAACATTAACATCGGTAAAGTCAGTCTTAGGAATCCATAGACGGTGCTCAAGGTTCGAGATGGTCTTAAGCTAGTGCATGAACCAATCAGAGAGCCGTATTAGCATCTTAAGACATTACTTGAGATTAAGACCGGACTATGGATTCCGGTCTTTAGTGTCTATCGAGTATCTATCGAGTTTCAGCGAAATTCAGAGACTTTTAGATACTTGGAAATTATTTTTAGAGAATTCGCTGATAATCTCTTAATTTCTTTGAAAGAGTTTCTGAATATCACTAAAAATCTCAAAAAAATGATTTCAGATATTTTCAGCGAAATTTTCGGAGACATTTTGTCACCAGGGAAATCAATTTCCCTCTGTCTTGTTGCAATAACTACAAATATAACAAACCTACATTTTATGCTGTTACGGATGATTCCACAATTCTTTTCTTTCACGAAAATATTGCCATCGAACCGGAAACCAAACACTTGTGGGAATTAATTGGAAAAAAATTTCAATCATTTATAATAGGAGATTGTAATGTCAAATGTAGAAAGATTAATAATAGAATTCAAAGGATAATACCTAATAGATTGATCAGATATCCAATACCGCAAGTGAGATCGACGATGGAGTATTTTCAAGCTAACAATAGGATCAGTCTATATGACCTAGAAACAATTGATTTCCATATTTTCCCCGTGGGGAAATAAAATCGGATTAAAATTTAAATACGCGCGTACTTTAGATATAATTGTATGTATTTATTTACATATTCCGTTGTATGTTCATTGATACCATGCGTTATCTAAAATATTAATTTTCCTCTTGTGTCATGATTATGCTTTATAAAATATATGTCTTAAATATATAAAACGTAAGTAAAAAACAAATTTATAGAATAAATAAAGAAATAATCACAAAATATATAACAATTAAAATGTTCAGCCCAATCTACAAATTCATAAAATTTTCACTGAAAACTCATTTCATTTGCATGAAATCTCTGCCCACGTCATTCACACAAACACGCGCACACACACCCAGCAGCACAAAATATTTATGATAAATATTTATTAATATTCATTTTTTGAAATGTTATAACACATTTCATACGTATTTTATAATATAAAGCTTTATTCGAAATATTATTAAAATTAATATAGACTAAATATTTTATGTAATATTTATGATAAATATGAATAAATATTTTTAATGAGTACTTTTTACTTGGACTATAATGTCTCATTAAGTATTTCCATAGCATTTACTGTAACATTTACAATAAATATTTCATAATACTTATAATAAATGGTTATGATCTGTGTAATCTAAGAGAGAGCGCAAAAAATATATTTATAAAATATTTAAAATAAATCTTATAAATATTTATAAATGTTTTATAAATATCGTGTGTTTTGGCAAGGCAGAGAGGGTTTGGAGTCATTAAGGCTGAATTCGGGGAGCGCGCTATCAACGCTATTGTGTCATGCTATCCTTGTTTCACATTTAGTGGACGATGAAGATAGAATGACACAAATAGTGCTAATAGCGTCTCCTCGAACGCAGCCTCAATATCAGGAGAATTAGGTCCTAACTTCTACCTATGACACACACACGCACGCACGTACGTGCGCACACTCAGAAATACGTCACTCAGTAAACGTGCCCGCACGAATTCTTATCTTTCTCACATCCTCACCATAAGCCCTCATTATCACAAATCTCTAACATGAAAAATTGTAGATTATCCGATCTCTCTTTCCTCCACCTTCCGAAGGTGTTAAGGTAAGTACTTTCAAGGTTAAATAATAGATTTTATTATTCCATTGTATTTCTATAAGTTTCAATCCTATATTTCGTACTATTCAGAAGTTATTTAGGTGACCCAGAATTTTTGGCTGGCACTGTATTTTAGAAATATTTCCTTATACCTATCATAAATATTACAATATATATAAAATTTTTAATCTATATTTTAATAATATTTCGAATAAATTAAGCTTATATAAAATATGTACAAAATATTTATATATATTTCAAAAAGACAAATAGAATATTATTTACGAATATTTGTCATAAATATTTTGTGTCTGAGTAGTAGTCACGATTTCGGATTTTTAAACAAAACACAGTATTTTTAAAAATTATTTCAAAATATATACTTAGCGTATTAAGAAGGCTGAGGCGCCATACAAATATATACGACCTGTAGCAAGGTTAACGTGGCCATAGCCATACTCGGGCTCATGGTAGAAGACATACACACACACACAAAGAAGAGGTAGGCCAATGCGAAACTCGTCAGAGAAGGCGAATCCCGTTCACCGTTGTACAGCACTACAGCTCCGGCCTCGGCATGGATCGCCAACGAAACGAGAGAGAGCGGCAGTCAATCGGTCACCGTACACGCGTGCTTTCAGCGGTGTCTCCGGCAGTGTTTCGAGAATTACAAACTCTGCAAATTCCTTCCCTCTTTTCTCTCTCTCTCTCTCTTTCTCTCTCTCTCATCTCTTCTCTCTCTCTCTCTCTCTCTCTCAGTCCCTCTCCCCCTGCCCCGTTCATATACATACGTATGTACATATGAAGTAGATTGTTCTCTCTTTCTCTCTTTCTCTCCTTGCTATTCAGGACTCTGAAACTCGTTTCAGTCAGTCACGGATTGTCCGTTGTTCCCTCGTTGTTGGTTCACGCGTTGTTGATCGCGAGCAGCAACTCACTGAGAATAAAAACGTGGATTTATATTTTTTTTTCTTGATCCGTATTTTTTTCTTGATCGTTTGATCTTTTTGTTGAAGAATTAGTGAGTGCGCATAAAACGAACGAGTGTTTATGGGTATATATCTGTATAGAAGAATGCGGTAGGATGCGTATCCAGAAAAGATGTTTCTTGCTGGGTCTCTGCCTCTTAGGCAGAGTCACCTTTTCCTTAACAGCCGTTAATACTGAAATTACCACGTTGCCCGGTAAGCTTCTCTCAAGGAATAAACTCATTCTGATTGAAGAAAGTATCTTGAATTGTATATTAATAAAACAGCGATAGAAAAAAATTATAATATAAGAAAGTATTTTTTAAAATCACTATATTTCATAAACAAAAAGTTGCTCAAAAGTAGGCACGTTAATTATAATATTGAAATTGTTAATATATAGCAATACCAGTAAAAAACGTGTCATATCTTCGTATAAAAGTCTTAAAAAATAAGACCTTGTCCTCTTATGATTATTATATCTACATAACTCATAAGAAAACTTATAAAATAATTCTCTCTTTTAAAAATTATTTAAATTCCTGAATCTAAAATCTTCTAATAGTTCCTATGTCTAAAAAATTATATTTCTTTAAAAAGATATTCTTTTATGTTTTTTGTATCCCTCAAATATATATACCTGAGTTACATGTAAATAAAAATATAAATACTGATGAATGAAAAAAAGAGAAGTTCATAAATTTCCTTGGACTTTACTTCTTAATTTTAAATAAGACATTCATCGGGATATGCATTTTGTTTCATTTGAGTAACAAGGCGCATTCACTAAAGCAGTGAATGAAACGCGTAAATTTGCATGAAGCAACCGGAGACCTTAATGACTGCGTAGAAAAGGCGCCCGGTTTTCTCAGATTCTCTTGCAATATTCGCGTCATATCGGACTAATTAAAGAAAATCAGTTCTGGTATTGTGTTTTTTTGTATAATTCGCAATAGTATATTTCATTTATTATATATATTTAGAGATATTTATTTGTATTTATATCCAGTTACTCAGTAACAATTGTACACCGTCTTATTCTGCGAAAATTTAATTAAGAATAATTTCACTTATTTGAATTTATTAAATGTCTAAAAATATAAATATGGACCAATATTTACGTTTACTTGATAAATTTTGAATGCATCCATTATTGGAAAATTTGTGTCGTATATAATATATTTCACATATTCCAAACGGTCCACTAAAATTTTTATGTTCATTTAACATAAGATGAATATATATATATTTTTTTCATTTTATTTTCATTTTTGCACTAAAAATTCATCTTTACATAAAAATGAAAATAAGAATTACAATCTCCAATGGCCTTGATTTTGACAAATGTTATCCAGGTCATGATCCTGAACAACATTCAAAAGTTTTAACCGTTAATCTAATACTAATGCCAGTGGTACTGATACTTTTAAGCCTTATAACTCGAAACGAAATTATAATTATAATAACGAAATTACTTAATAAAAAAATATTTTATTATAGTGTTTTGAAAAATGACTCACTCAACAGCCGAAGAAGTTCCATTATCAGAATCAAAAGTCTAACTATCCAAATCCTCTTACAGCGTTAGTACACGCAATCTCTCCCCTTTCAAATGATCTATGGCTTATCTCATTTGGCATTTTACAATTCTTATCATCTCCT